CAATGATTTTTATTTGTTTCCTGGAGATTCACCATTAACCAAAGCAAGATTTGCTCTAATTTTACACAGTGCCTTTTATGTAAGATTCGATGAGCTACTTTGTGGGGACCAGACCCCGGTCCCCACAGGTGACGCTGGTCCCTGCAAGTCTAGTGTGCTGCTGGTTCTTTGCCCCAGTAAGTATAGATAAACACACGCACACAAAAGACATTGCCAGCACATTTTCTTTCTGCCCTGCATTGTGCCTGCAGGTATTTTTTCAGGCTGCTCCAACAATCTTCATCAGTACCTAGAAAAGGTGAAACTCAAGGCAAAAAATGTCCAGAATGAACTCCCTGCACCTCTGGCTGGTGCTTGTTAAGCTAACTGCTCCAAGCCCACAGTGATAATGGAAGGTGAAACGAATGTATCAACATTTTAGCAACTCAGATCTTTCATCTGGGCCGTGGTGGCAAGACGGTACGAGAACAGTGTTCCAGGATAATTTAATTAGCACATCAATCTGAAACAATGAAAGTGAGGGGACAAAAATAGGACTGTATAAAGAGAGAGCGATACAGTATGCTCCCTCATCCCCAGTGGAAACTAGACCCTCAGGTGTTAGAAGCAAAAGGGCCAGATACTGTACGTATGTTTCCAGAAGCTGGTGGAAACCAAAGCAGAGCTGCAAGGAGTCAGCAGGTGGACACAAACACCACTCCAAATGAACTGCTAATGTTCCTGTCTCTGTGTCTGCCCGATGTCTGAGTAGGTAACTGTTGGCCTTTATTTCTCATTACTACCTAATGATAATGATGATAACTTATTAATGTTGTGGTTTCAGGTTGTGTTGCATTAGATAGCTAGAAAAAATGAAACTGCAGCTTGCAAGTTTCTGTCTTCAGGTGAGGGGAGGAATAAAGTGTTAGATTCTTCAAAAACAAAACTAGTATGCTGTCTAGTGTTTACTAAACCATTGATTTTCTAAGATGATAAACTGTTGACATTTTGAAGAAAGAATACTTGTATTTGGCATTTTGGAGCCCATTATGACAGAATTAGGAGAAGTCCTTTTTCTTTTCATTGTGTTTTAATCTAAATCATATGGACTTCTTTGTCTTGTGGTTGTGAATAATCTGCTGTGTCAGTGGCCTCCTGTGTCTTTTCTCTGTATTCCTTTGCTCTTCCATTGTCACAGCTTAGACAGTAAATCTGCATTTCACCCTCCACCCTCACTTGTAAAAAGTAAAACAGAAAGTCTCTGTATTTC